TTCTTGGAAATCCTATCTCGGATGCCAAGCACCAAATGCCACAGACTAAATGGAAGGATAAAGCTATTACCCTCCTCCCCGAAGGTGAGGGACACGTAATAAGGGCAGAACAAGGAAATGTGATCAACTTCTCTGTAGGATCAGTAAGCATATGTTGACAAGACACTTCATAAGCCAATAGGAAGTACAGATTCTAGAACACTTTTTGTTCAAGTTAAATCTAATTTAAGATATTCAGAGATATATCCAAATACCTATAAGAAAGATTTTGTTAGGCACCCAAAGAATTTTCTAAATACTTAACGGAATCCAGATTTTATATTTATGCTTTCCCTTATTTAAATAACTAATATGCAAGATTGCTGTGTTTAGATGGCTTTGCCCACAAGTACTATGTGTGTACACATACATACATACCTACATACAGGGGTGATGATTTAAATGTTTAACAACCTGCATGTATGGTACACTGTGGAAGATGCAGTTCCCACAAGCAGCCACATAAGGGTGACTCTGAGGGAATGCCAGCCAGCACATCAGCCAGGAACCAGACGCCCTGTCACTACTACTAGGAGCAAGGGGAGGTCTTGGTCTGCTCTGACCAGTGGAACACTCAAGATGGAGGCCAGTGCATAGGAGTTATGGAGGGCTAGCAGGCCACTCTTGGCTCACCAGAGCCATGGTGGCCAGAGATCACTTGGCAGAGCTGAGGGCAATGTTTTGTTTTTTTAATAAATAGTACAGAACTGTTCCAATATTTTAACAACCTGTTTTTCCGGAGCATCCCACCTAAATACCACCTCACTCTTGCATAGTGGCAGTACGACTCTGTCATTTATACACACACAAAACACACACACATATATACACAAGTGTTCCACTGGCCAGAGCTGACCAAGACCTACCCCAGAGAATATTATATGGGTTCACATATCTATGTATCTCTATGTGCATATTTATATGTTTACATATGTATGTGTATATCACTCACAGAAACTGTTCTTCTGAAATTCTCCTAAGTAAATGGAGGCCAGCTGTGGTTCTGACTTTAGCCTCTACTGCAATTCTCCATTGGCTTACACAAGAATGAGTCAAGTGCCTAATGGTGTCAATTATTTACCTATTGTCTCTCAGTTTCATGCCTACCCTTTAACACTGTTCTATAAGGCTGGGTTTTAGAATCTGAAAACTATGTTTCCCAGGCTCTGCTTCCAGTTGGTTTCCTGCCAACAGGAGGCACTGGGGGAAATAAGCAGGTGGCAGGAGGAGAAAGGATGCTGTGTTTGTTCTCTTTCATTCTCTCTCTCTCCTCTTTCTTCTTCTGACAATGACTCTGGAAGAATCTTCAGTCCCTCCTCCACAGTCCCAGCTCTGGAGTGGTGGTTCCTCCTCTGCTCTCCTAAGTGATGATATCACCACCTCCTCCCCTAGACACAGGGGTGGTAGCTGCTTTCTGAAGTTATTATCTCTGGTTTACTCCTACCTTCCCAATTTTTGCCTTCCAACCTATTTCCTGTATTAAATCTGCTCTCTTTGAAATATCTAGTGTAGTTTTGGTTTTCCCAGCTAATAAAGCAAATCTTTGCAAAAGTGGCAGCAACTCACTCTTTTTTATTATTGAGGTAACATTGGTTTATAACATTATATAAATTCCAGGTGTACATCATTATATTTCAACTTCTGTATAGACATCATGTTCATCACAAGAAGTCTAGTTGACATCCATCATCATACACATGTGCCCCTTTCGCCCTCCCCCTCTCCCCTGCTAGTGACCACCAATCTGTTCTCTGTATCTATGTGTTTGCTTAGCTTCCTCAAAAAAATTAAAAATAGAACTGCCATATGATCCAGCTATTCCACTCCTGGGTATTTATTCAACTCACTCTTGAGTCTACCGCCATCAAGGATCAATGAAGGAACACTTTAGAAGGCTAATTTGAAAATGGACTGATGCCTACCTTTTTAAGCTAACTAGAATGCTTTCCTGCATGGTACTGGGATTTCACATAAAGGGCATTTCTTTTCTTCTTGCTCTTTTCAAAGGCTACAGAAATACTGTTGTTCAAAAATACTTTGTTGGATATCTCAGTTTACCTTGTCATCCTCAGAGGGAAAAAAAAAAATTTGTGTCTAATTCTTCACATTTGCCCCTAAGTTCTTTTCCATTTGCTCTTATCTCCACATGAGCTCGACTTCAGTTTTCAACCTTTCTCCTTGACCTTCATCTGATCCATTACCTAATCTCTATCCTCTTTCCTTTTGCGTTTGTGCCTGATGAATCATATCTTCACTTGCGTCAAATAAAGTAAGCTGTTTTTCATTTGTAACAGCCTCTCATGCTCACAGTTTGTATTACCAGAAAGTTCTCGTAGGCCCTATAGGAGTCTTTATCCACATATTTCTCAAAACTGAAAACATAGTTTCATTGTGTACCAGCAATATTTTAGTTATTTTGCTGCTAACCTTGGTGACACTATTAATATCATATCAAGCATCTTTTACCTATTTTCAGGTTGAGTTTTATTCATTTTCTCTATCAGTTTCTGAACACAAATGTATTTTTATTTCATGTGTTTGGATGTTTTGCACCATCTGTTTTTTAAACTGTTAGAAATTCTTAAGTGTAATTGTGTCTACTTTGGCAATGAGTCAGATGAAAGCCATTTCTTCACAAAAATGCTTAAAGATCTTGGTGTCTAACAGCTTCAGTTCAGACCCTGGAGAAACGAGAAAACATACCCAACACTGCATCCTGTTTGGCATCTGATTTCTTTTCACAAAAGATACTGCATTCAGTGAATCCTCAAATTTTGGGCACTCACTTTAGACAGCAGCAGACTGTTAACAAAACTTGATCAAATAAATATTGTGAGTCTTGAATGCTATCTTATGTGATTAACGCTTCAGACTGTTCCCTCTGTATCGTCTTTTAAATCAATTTAAGACACCTGGATACTGCATGAGTTCATTCATAATGACTTTTCCAAACCAAAATAATCTACTATCATAAGTGCAAATTGAAGATGTTGTAACTAACACTTACACTATGCTTACTGTGTGCCAGGGTCAGTTCTAAAAACTTTAAATATGTTAACTTATCTGATCCTCACAGCAGCCCTACAAGGGAGGGATTATTAGTATCTCCATTTTGATATGAGGAAACTGAGGCACAGAGAGGTTACATAACCCACCCTAAGTCACATGGCTAGTAGACGGCAGATTGGGGATTTAACTCCAGGCACTTTGATTCCAGGGTCCATTTTCATAACTACTACACCGAACTGCCACTCCAACCTTCTCATCTGTATCCTTGACATGGAATATTTGTCAATCACATGCAATTATCCAGGCTCTCCCTCTAAGGTACTGTCTGCCTTGGTGATGCTCTTCTTAGCAGCAACAGTTCTCATACTGATCCATAAAGTAATAGCTACCATTTATAGGGAACCTACTTATGCACCACATATTATGCTAGGTACTTTTACATTTATATAATCTCATTTAATCTCCTCAACAATACTAAGCCTTGGTTATTATTATCTCCATACCTGGATAACCAAAGGGAAGCTAAATGGAATTAAGTAAACTGCACAGGCTCAAACTAGTAAATGGAAGAGGCAGAATCACTCCAAAGCCTGTGCTCTTAACCACTTAAGAATATGACCTCCCCTCTTCTCTTCTCCTTTCCCAACCAGCTCTGGGAAAGCAGCTCCCCCCAATTCTTCAAACCCACTTCCCTGTTTGTCCAGTGCAGCTGTCTGACAAGGACCCTGCAGAACCCTTTCTCCGACTATAGGCAGAGGTTCTTGGGTCCAGATTTCAGTCCTGGCTCTGACACTCTGCGTGGCACTGAGGAAATCACTTAACTTCTTTGAGTCTCTATGTCCTTTTCTGCAAAATGGAGATAAACAGTATCTATTTCACAGGATCACTGTGGGGCTTAAAAGATAATATACATGAATGCGTCAAGTGTATTAGTATTTTTAATTATCATAATAATAGTGAGATTTTTCAGTAGCAAAACAATGTATAGTAAGATAGGCCGTCTGAGCTTTAGGATACAGCGAAGCATAATTATTTTCCTCCATAGCAACTGGATCAATACTTTGGAAGGCCTTATCTTGGAGTCTAATGGAGAAACTTTCTAATTAAAGCTTTCTCTCACTTTTGAATAATCTTGTAAAAATTTGATATTCATCTACAAAGCTAGGATTGCTTTCAGATATGCAACTTCTGAAGCCACAATTTCAAGAAAGAGCTACACCTCAGAACCATAGTTATTTAAAGAACTCCAAAAAACTACTTTTTCAAGAAAATCTAGTGAATGGTAAAAACAGGGGTTTTTGTGAGGAAGAAAAGTTCCTTATCAGAACTATTTGTAGGAAAGGAAATAACAGCAGTTGTGATTAGAAAGGCCTATAATGAATATATCTACTGGAAAATACATGTCCAAAAATATTGGAATAAAAAAGAAATATAACTGTTCCTCCATCAGTAACTTACTGCAAATATACAGTCCAACTCACAATAAATTATAGAGTCAAATGTATATGCACTTAATTTGCCAAAACACTCATAAAGTTTAATGAAGTTAACTCCCAGCAGGCAGATTTATTACTACTCATTTAATATGAATGAAGCACATAAAGACTGTTTAACAACAAACATCATGCATTCATCATTAGAACATGCCCACTAATTATAAAAGACTCAATTTGCTTAATTCTTTCCTTTATGATCAAACTAGACCGAGTCCAAGTCCATTTGCTTTATGGAAACCAACTCAGCTATGCATTCTTTCTGACTCTTCCTGTAGTTTGAATCTTCTAACTCTTGTGATACGGCTGGCATACTGAGGCTCACGTCTAGCCAAGGAATGAATCACAAGTTGGTGCTTTCTGGCACCACCAGGTTTAATTGCTTGGACTTGGGTTAGTTGACAGGCACAAGGCCAGTAAAACTTGCCAGTAAAAAAATACAGTAAATTTAGCACTTACTGCCTTGAGGTCTTCATTAACATGAGTATCATTCATTATAAACTCAGGATAGCCAACTTTTGCCAAAACAGCTCTTGCCTATGAAAAGGAAAAAGAAAAATGATGTCAGAATTTCAGCACTTAAATCATTATTAATCACAGGATGTAGGAATGCAACCTTCATCTGAAAACTCCATTTAGTGACTATCTGCTATATGCCACCCACTGTGAAGGGCAAAAAAAATAAATAAGTTAGTCCCTGCCCTCAGTATACTAAAAATATAGTGAATGTAGCAAATAACCATATAGTACAAGATAAAGGTTTTAATAGAAACAGACCATATTGTTATCAAAGTTCCGAGCAGTGACTATTTCCTCACGGGGAAAATGCTTAATGGAGAAGGTGACCAAACTGAGTCTTAAAGAATGGTTGGGATTTCAAAATGCAGAGCTGAGAGGAAGGACATTTCAGGCAAGTAAACAGCAAGGGCAAAGACAGGAAGATGGAAACAAAGGGCGTTTTGGAGAGAGGGTGAGTAGCTTGCCGTAGCTGGACTAGAAAGCACAAGAGCAGAAAACAATGCAGGAAAACCAGCTTAGGCCAGATCACAGGGATTCCTAAATGCCATGCTAAAGAGTCTATTATTTTATTTTATAGATAAGAGAGAACTAAATATTTTTAGCAGGAGTAACATGAGATGAGTCACCCTTCACCAAGATTATCCGTGCAACATTGTAAGCGATGGCCAGGATGCCAGAAGAATTGGAGGTAGGGGGTCCAGACTAATTTAAGATGCATCATAACCATCCTTTTGATAGAAATACTAATTATTCCCTGCATTTTGCAGCATATAGGGAATGGATAAAGGAAAAAATCACCTTAGGTACGCAGAAGGAGCCTCCACAGCAGGGACTGGCAAACTATGGCCCTTGAGCCAAATCTAGCGTCTCCCCCCTCATTAGTTTTTATAAAGTTTTATTGGAACACAGTCGTGCTCACCATTTACATGTAATCTATGGCTGCTTTTGCGCTACAACGGTGGAGTTGAATAGTTGTTATAGAAACCCTGTGGTCCACAAAGCCTCAAATATGTACTACCTGGCCCTTTATAGAAAAAGTTTGCCAACCCTTGCTCTAGAGAAACTTTACAATTCCACGTGAAAATCTGTCTCTCCCCTCTCCCCAGATTCTGAGTTTCACAAAAACAAAAGAGTAGTTTATTCAAAGAGTAAGTGCATTGTTGGGGCCCTGCCCAGATCCCCTGGAACCCCTCTGATCACTTCTGTACAACCCTCCCCAGCATCAAGGTTCTTTCTATTTTCTAATACCCAACACCTGAGACTCTCTGAAGGCCTCCTAGGGCACTAGAGCACCTTGCCTGAACTCAAAACTTCCTGTGCGGGTTATCTGCCTTCGGCCCCCATCCCCACCCCACTCCCGACCTCCAGCAGCCCTCAGCCAGTGACTGACTGTAGCAGGATCAGGAAAGCACAGCTCTTTTGCCTCAATTCAGGACACACTGTGAGGTATGATTTGTACTCCAGAGTTCCCACAGGATCAGGCTGGCCCAGACTTCCCCGACACTGCACCAGTACCTATCTCTCACCCTTCCCTGTGCAGCATCCTCCATTCCCTTGCTGGTTTCTCTCGAGAGCACTTGCTGAATAAATCATAAATCGCTTGCTCACAAATCCTTATCTTCAGCTTTGCCTCTAGAAGACCCAAAGTAAGACACCAGGCAACCCCAAACACATTGGTTTTATTCCAGCAAAGCAAAACCCGTGACCTTTGCACACTGCTCTTGGTAACGAGTTTTTTCCTTTAGTCCCTTTCAATTTTCCTCACTCAAGAAATAGAGTAAGATAGTACATTTTCCTTATCTTCCTTGAGATAATTCAAATATTGAATATCAGCAGAAACCTGAAACCCCAGACTCAGAGAGGATTTTACAAGTGCCATAGGACACAGTCATAATGGGTTTTGCTGTTCCAGAGACTCAAATATAGCACAGATCAAATTCTGCCTTCAAAATCCCATGAATTACACTGAAAGCCTGATGTGACCCAGGTAGCAGATAACCAGAGGTTACAACTCTCCCCTCAACACCAAACAACAGGTCATATGTCTATAGGTCACCTTGTTCCAAGATTGTTCTATTAATCCCCTCATTGTATTTAATTCCTCACTGTGTTTTATCAGCTCACCACAAGTCATATGCATAACTATAGCAAATAAAGAGCTCCAGATAGTTTCCAAAAAATAAAGAAATATACAAGCTGAGTCATCCACAACTGTTTTCTGAACACTGAGTTTTCCTGGAGCATGCTGGTGAATTATGCATTGTTTTTCAAACCTCACGCTCTGGGACCCCCACTGCACTTGTGGAGCTTCACAGAATATATTATCTTCTGTACTATATATACAGGTCACTGAATCCTTTCTTATTATTTATTTAGCAACACCATGACTTGAAGAGAGCCAGAACAGATACACAAAGAATCCCTATTCACCTCCCAAGGACACATAGAATAAGGTAATAATACTAGTAGCAACATTGCCAACATCTGAATAAAGTGCTCTTCTTCCCAAAACATGCTGTGTGTGTATGCTTCTATTTAAACTCAAATGCTCCTTCTGCCAGACAGTCTGTTGTCAATTCCACATCATTCCACCCCACTCCATTCTACATTCTTCCCTGAGAAGCTTCAGAATTACATCTCCCAAAATCCCATAGGGCATGGCTCCAGGTTAGACTCTGATGATGAGGAGCACTCATAGGAGATTCAAAAGTTAGAAGAGAAGGAGACATCATTTATTCATTCGCCATTGGTAACTATGGGCAGGCACAGGGGCATCTGCAGACAGCAGATATAGGGCTTTACCAGCAGCTTCCAGGAATTCTCCTGAGAAGACCCCTTCCACATGTGGGCAGCAGAGATCACTGGCATACTCTGCCCTTCACTCCCCAGCTCTCCCAATGGTTGCATAAACTTCCAATTCCCCATATTAAACATCCTCCTGCTTGATACACTTAGAAGGGCATTTGTTTTCTTGAATGAACTCTAACTGATAAACCCTGTAAGGCAAATAGTGATCACATCACTTTTTAACTTTTCCAGAATGGGAGAAATGAAGCACCAACAGTCTGATGGCTTGAAGAAGGGCAAAGTACTAGTGAGGGAGGCCTTAAATCAGTTACCCCATGGGTTACCTGGACAAGAAGGAAAGGTAAGTCCTACTGCAAACACTGAGAGAACAGTGGTATAAACAGATAACATGTTGCATATTACGTCCTGCAAGAAATATTTCCTAGGTTGCTTGTGGCTGACCAAAAACTCCAGAGTTTTCTGTAACCAGTGCATGCATCCCCATCTCTTATCCACACAAACCTCTGGAAAGGGGCTGCACATGACAGCTGGACCTCCTCCTTCAATGAAGGAAGCTCAAGCCACTGGCTTGATACCTCTGTGACCTTGGGCAAAGTACTTAACTTTTCCGAAGCAAATACTGCCTATTGTCTACCTAATATCCATTCTCCTTTCCTTCCCTTACTATCAGACCCCAATTCTGCTCAGGGTGACAATGATCCCAAAAAAAAGAGCTGCATCACCCAGCTTCCTTTGCAGCTAGAGTCGGCTATGGGAAGAGATCCTGGCCAACTACATATGATAAAGTCCTTTTTTCATTTCTAGCAATTCATGTTAAAAGAGGGCAGACTCAGCTGGCATGTTCTTTCTGCCTTTAGTGCAGGGTTTCTTAACCTTAACACTGCTGACGTTTGGGGTCAGATAATTCTTATCGTGGGAGCTGTCCTGTAGACTGCAGGATGTTTAGCAGCATCTTTGGCTTCTACATACTAGATGCCAGTAGCAACACCCCCTCCCCAAGTTGTGACAACCAAAAATGTCTCCAGATATTGCCAAATGTCCTCCAGGAACAGAATTGCTCCCGAGTGAGAACCACTGCTTTAGCCTCTCCCGTTCTTCTTTCCTGTAATGCTGATGCAACACCAGAGGTAGAGCAGCCATCTTGTAACCACACGGCAACAAACATGAGGAAGAAATCTACATGCTAAAGATGCTGGAATGAAGAGTTGATGGCATCTGGAGCCCACAATACCAGGCCTGAACTGCCTCCCTTTCCCATCCACGGCATGAGGAAAATAAACCCCTTATCTGTCTGAGGCATGTCATCTTTTCCATTAGCTGTAGCCGAATGTAATCCGAACACACTCTCCTTTTCATCAGATGTAGTTAGAGAAAAAATAGTGCCTACTTCATAGGGTTGTCTGCAAGGATCAGGATGACATTGCATGTAAAGCACTTTTTTATGCCTTGGTACAGAGTACATGACAAATAAATGTTGATTATAGACTACATAGAGAAAGGAGAAAAATTACTTCTTCCAAGAATTTGGAATAACTGTTGTGTGCCTGTTTGGAGGGTCTTTCAGGGGTGCCCAGGCAAGATTATATCCTTAACCAAATACTTGAACTCCCCTGTGAAATAATCTCACTTTCTTTAGTCATAGGTCCAATTTCATGAGGCCACACAAAGTGGCGAGAGAGAAAAGCTGTCAAAGCAACTCTGTGATCAATGGGGAGACAGATGTACCCACGATATCCTTGGAGCATGATGGAAGATTTCCTGAACAAAGCCAGACTCTAAGAAAGAGCCAGGAGAACCCAGGCTATTCACATCCCCCCAAAACGTCTGAGGATTCTTTTGAAGGCCACTATTTGCACACCTCAGAAAACAGACATGAGAAAAATTATGAAAGCTAATTCTAGGAAAGATCAAAGAAAAAGGTCGCCATTTTGGTTTTCACCTTCCCCTCTTTTCTCTTTCCTGTATCCATTCCTACCAAAACCCACCAGTCCCTGGGTGTTTATACCACTTGTTCTCCAATCATACCCAAAGTGGCCTTTCCTAAGCAATACACTGCGCTCCAAAGTCATCTCCCCCTTCCTTCCTCCATCTATCAAAACCGTTATTCCCTCAAGGCAGCTAATCCACTGGGGCCTTAAACTAATTTCTAACAAAATATGAGTGACTAACAGCAATCTAACGTATTAGCTCTGGAGAAATATCGGTATTTA